CGGGAAAATAGATGGTTATATGTTAATTAGAAAGGAGTTAAGCTACAAATTACCTTGAATTGGAGATAGATGCACATGTATGTGCACACATGCAATTTTCCTGGAAAGGATCTTTTAAAATATCTCATTAAAGCTTGAGACTAACAGTAAGAAAGCTGGTTTTCTTGCTATTTTTTAATGTTGGTTATTGCAAAATGAAATAATATGCTGGCTAAAATTTAGCTCAGGAAAACAGTTGTGTTCCAGTGTGGTTTGGGCTGGTTGCTTTTAAAAACCCGAGGTGTGGAACTATGCTGAGATTACTTTTTATACTGTTGCTTTTGAAGTCCACCCTGGATTAAGAACTGGTTTAATTTCCTTTTATCTCTACTTGGAATGTATTTTAGAACAATATTTGCAGGTTTGGAATTCTAATGTTTAAAACAACAAGAATGACAAGAACTTTGGGGGGGTGGGGGGTGGGGCACAACGGACTGGGACGCATGTCAAACAAAACTGAAATCTGAGATAGCTGATTTTATTTATGTTTATTAGAAAGCGTCCTGAGCATCTCTGGATGGCATAGGCTGGCTTTTGGCCTTTGGCCATGAGGCTGCTTGCTGCTGAGGGGCCAAGGAGGGGTTTGCTGCTGGGGGCTGCGGGAGTGATTGCCCTCAGCAGGTGCCTGATCACGAAATGTCTCTTCTGCTTGCCTCCCCCTCTGCCTCCAAATGAGCTTCCCAGAGTTGCAGAGATGTGGAACTTAAGTAGGAGGAAACGTTTCTGGTTTGGCCATTTTGTAGCTTTAAAGTCTGCTGGTTAGCATTTAAAAAAAAAAAAAAAAAGTCCCATTTTTTTGTAGCTGTAATTTGTGCTTGATTTTAAAAGCCTGCCTTGTACCGTAAATATGGAATTAAAACAGATCTGTCAAGGATTTGAAGGATGTTTGTGGTGCTTAGAAGTTAGCTTGATTCATAGGTAGCCAGTTCTATAATTTTAATGCTATAATTTTATGCATGTACATCTTGTTGCAGTGATTCCATTTGTTTGCACTTATATGCTTAATAAAAGTATGTTTTAAGGATATGCTTTTTTCCTACTAGGAATTAAGCATTAGGTGGGTTTTTTTGCTTTTGTCCATCGGTTTATTAGTCTTTTGGTATTTAAGCAGGGGTAATACTGTAGTTCATCGATGACTGAGGCCAGATAATTTTACTAAGCTAAGGTTAAATCTGCAGGTTAAGAACAAAATCACTCATACAGGACAAAAAAAAACCAACGGTACAAAAGTAGTGATAATTTATAAATACCATTTCAATGTTTCTTATATATTAGCACCTACATCTTTTTATATCTTCTGCATCTGTTGGATTTTTCAAAATCTAGATGGAAAAAAGAATGAAATAAATGGAGTTAGTTTCCACTGTGACAAAGGGGAGCCTTTCCTTCAGTTTTGCTTCAAATATGTACACAGTTTTGAATCCATAATCCCAAGTATGTATATGAATTTATTGTTTGTAATGGTAACGCACAGTTACAGAGTCTTAGGAAGGGTCAAAACTGAGGCTCCTGTGGTGTAACTATGTCTGCAGTGTGGAAAAGATCCTTACATATTTAAGCATTCTAGTTCCTCCTGCTGTGTTCAATGTGGGTGTTTTCTATTTTTATATACCTGTGCCTGCGATTATATTCCTCTTGCATCTGTGGTAAAGCTCTGCCCTTGTAGCTTCAGTCCACTTTGTTACAGGCACTTCCCAAGCCAGGGATGCTGGCCAGTACTCTCAGGGAAGACTTGTGTTCCGGCTGAGATTTCCTAGAAGTCCAACCTCACCTCTCTTAGTTAGTCAGATCCCTTATCTGAAATCAGTAGGTGTTCCTTGGAAGTCTTATTCACTGTATGTCGATAAGGAAATTACTGCTCTGGCATTTCTCTGCACGGGCAGTTCTTCACACTCTTGTCCAGTAATTTGTTTGTTCAGTGTGCCTGTGACAGCCTCACCTATAACGCAGATTCAGTCCCCCGCCTGTGTGGCAAGTCTCATGGACATAGCCAAGGGCTTGTCAGGCTTCTCAGGACCTGCCTGCTTTTTCCTCATCTCCAGGGTGCGTTTTTCCAGCCATATTTTTCAGGCATTTTCAGCCTGGGATTTTACTGAAATGATTTTACAGTTGTCTCCCATACGTACTTGCAAAAAGTTTCACCCCCAGTAGGCAAGAGTTTGAGAGTGACCTCTTGAAAGTCAGATGATTAGTTGTGGGCTGTTGTGTGTTGGCCACCGGAATCAAACAAAAAAAGTGATTTTTTTTTTTTTTTTTTTTTTTTTTTAGTTAATTTGTTCTGTACTTCTTTGGGTAGTAAGGTCCCGCTTGCCCTCCCATGAAAACAGCCACCCCAAAGCCTGCTTTTGAGGTCTTCACTGCTGAATGTGTGTAGGCTGCTTTTTTTTATCACAAATTACAATGTGTGAACATCATGTGCATTTGCGTACATTTGGAGAAAGCTTAGATTTTATTCGCTTCAGCAGTCCAATCACAAAGCCCAGCGATCTGTTTGACCTTTTAGCTTTTAGTGCCCTTACGTTCCTTTCCCTTTTCCAGGCCTTGCTGACAAATGTCAGCATGCCGTAACGTATCGGTTTAGGGATCTGTTTATGGCAGATAAACCTCACCCAAAGGTTTGAGGAGCTTCCCTATAAATAGCTATGTTGGTCATAGCTTTCTATATGCTTGTAGAGGTCCCTGATCTGTGTTTCATAGTAACAGAGTCTCTTAGCTCAAAATTTGTGTATAAACACCAAATTTTGGAGGAATTTTGGCGTTGTTGTTGAAGCCTTTTGTAAAAGGATGCGCCATGCAAGTTGCAATTCTGATTAATTTAGCAAGGCAAGAGGTTTTTCTGAACTTAGTGCATTTCTCCCCCCCCCCCCCCTCCTCTTTT